CATGTTCACTTTGCAAGACAAAGACCAATCTTAATGACAACTTTATTTGATAAATATGAAATAACTAATCAGGTTATTGAAGAAAACTTATTAAAAAAAAAAGTAGTTATTGAAGAAAACATGAAACTAATCCAGCACATGTGAATAAAGACCAATGTAATGCACAAAGTTTCATATACGGCTGGCCGTACGGTGTGGCCAGCCATATATATTTTTAAAAAAATTCTTCTTCTCTCTCCTCTTTCTTTCTCCTCTTTTCTTCTTCCATCACCATTTTCTACCGCAATACCTTGCCGACATTCATACTTTCCTGCGACACTCGACCTCTTCATTGCAACATCTCCTTTTCCCCCCAATTTTATTTCTCTCTCCTCTTTTTTCTTCAAACTTCATTAATGGTGTTGTCTTCTTAGCCCAAATTTCTTCAAACTTCATTAATGGTTTTCTATTGGAAATTTATGTTCTACGAAATTTATGTTGAATTCAATCTTATTTGCAGAAGATTTTGATTATATAACTTGTAAGTTGTTCAATTTTATTACTTAATTTTTTGTTTAATTGAAGAACGAAGAACAAATTGTTTTCGTGGATAGTGGTGGTTTTGTGGGTGGGTAGTGGTGGTTTCGTGGTTCTGGGTTCTAGATCTGGTTTCGTTGGTGGTTTAGGTTGGTAGTGGTTCGTTGGTGGTGGTTGTGGGTGGTAGTTTTTTGTTGGTTGTGGGTAAGAGGTTACTAGATCAGGTCAGGGGTTACTAGGTCGGCGCTCAGGGGTTACTAGGTTGGTTAGGGGTTACTTGGGATTAGTAGGTCGATTAGGGGTTACTAGTTCGGGGGTTAGTAGGTCAGTTAGGGGTTACTAGGAGTTACTAGGTCGGGGGTTCGTTATTAGGTCGGTTAGGGGATACTTGGGGTTACTAGGGGTTACTAGGTCGGTTAGGGGTTACTAATTCAGGGGTTACTAGGTCGGTTAGGGGTTATTTGGGGTTACTAGGTCAGTTAGGGGTTACTAATTCAGGGGTTACTATGTCGGTTAGGGGTTATTTGGGGTTACTAGGTCGGGGGTTACTAGGTTGGTTAGGGTTACTTGGGGTTACTAGGTCGGTTAGGGGTTACTTAGTCAAGGGTTACTAAGTCAGTCAGGGGTTAATTTTGTCTTGGGGTTATTTTGTCATTTGCTGATTTGACAACTTGCCGCATGGTGCGGCCAGTCGCACCAGAAACACACTGAATATAATGAATTTGGAATCAGATTGACAGAAAACACAAGAATTGGTCCATATCCTAATTCCAACCTTATCCTATTATTAAAAAAATTGTATTGGTAATATGGTTATTAATTTGTTTATTAAAAACACGATATCAAGTCGCGGGTATTACCTTAGGAATTCCAAACAAGTCCATTCAAAATCAAGAAAATTATACTATATTATCTTTATCTAGCTTCTATAAGAATAGATATAAATATTTGTAGTAGTGGATAAGATAAGGAAATGGCAAATGGTAGCATCCGAGAAATGTTAGACATGTTAGTATGTTACATATATATTAATGAATACGTGATAATAAATTACATTAGATGGCAATGGGCTAGCTCAACATCTCCAATGTACAAAGGTAGGTCTTGGCTCGCTGAAAATGAATGTGCTAATTGAACTACAAATGTCATCCCGAGTTCATCCTACATATATATTATGCTTATCACTTGTTGAGGAGGGTGGACGAGAAATTTGTTAATGGGCTATTGTCCTCCTTAGAGAAAACTCAATGGATCAGTAGATGACCAATATTTTTGGACTTAATTTTTTTTTTTAAAAAAATATAATAGGTTAAATGGAAAATGGTTTAGATGAAATTTAATCTTATGCATTAAAAAATAAAGACATTTGCTACAATATAATTTTCTTTGATGAAGGTTGAAGGATTTTGTGAGGATGTTTAGCTAGCATTAGGTGAACAATCATTGTACTCCCTCCGTCCCTAAATTACATTCCTAGTTCTAGCATTTATTCATCACATAATAGAGAGATGTAAGAATATAATTTAGGGACGGAGGGAGTAATTGCTTTTGTTTTTCGTTCTGGTTTGATTCACACGAGTAATTAGGGTATGAAAAATATAGGCTCTAGGTTGAGCTGAACCTTGGTAAATCAGATCATTACATTTTTTTTTTAAATTCATGTTGTTTCGATTTTCGTTGTGTAGGTTCCAGCTTCTATTTATTCCCTTATAACTCATGAAAATGTTACTCGTATAAGTTTACGAAGTTCTCTTGTACTCAATTCAATCTCTCTTCTTTAGTACTTACAATTTGTATTTTTGAATCCATTCTTTGACAAATATATAGCTTTTGGGATTCTAAAAAAGCTGATTTAAGAAAATAAAAGTATTATAGAGAATATGATCAAAAAACGATGCCCGTAACTTCGAAAGGCTACAATATTTATATAAGTAAAACGTAAAAAGAAAGAAAATTGCATCGCCAAAATGAGATAACCACTGCACAGTGTTAGCAATTTTGTTGGTAAGCGGAGAACTTTGGCGCGCCGCGACAGAATTCTTGTTTTTGTGAATTTTGTTTTTATCTAAACTCGGATTAAGGAAATTAATATCTAGTTGGAGATCTCTAGACGTTTACTTTCCATCCCAATTTGGATAAGGTCAATATCATTTCTAAATTAAAAGATATGGTCAAAATAGTGTAAGGATGTCGGTTTTGGATAGAGTTTGGTATTTCGTTCATATCTTTTTCGTTATAGCTCGAAATTGGGCTTATGATATATCATTAGAAAGATTATTTTGAAGGATATCCAACCATGCATGTAAGATTTGGATAAAAATTATGAATCAAGATAATCAAAATTTCTCGGATGCGGGCTGTAGTTATGGAAAGATAAAATTGGCCTAAGCTAAGCTATGTGGATTTTGGGCTAAGAAAAGTATTTGGGCTATTGAAATGGCTAGAATGATTTGTGAAATGATATAAAATGGAAATGGTATGGATTTGTAAGAAAAAAAATCAAGTGTTCCTTTCTATTAATACTACTCTACCCCCAAATGGCGATAAAAGTTTTACTCATCATTGGGTTTCGATTAGGGAGACATTTTTAGATGTATATACTTTTTGTCAACCATAATATTTTAAGTTTTCTTGTTTGAGTACTGGTCTATTTTGATAATGTCAAAGTTGGCCATAAAAGGGTGTTATAAAGGCAATAGTCGGGTAACTATGGCTCATAGTAACTAAAGCTTGATAACACAAGATTGGTAATGTCCTCCCATTAAAGATGGGAAATATGTCTTTGCTACTGACAAGGCTACTCGAAGAGGGAGACTGGGAAAATGCATGGCCGTGCTAAGATGGGTTTGATCGAAAAATTATCTGTACTCAACAGTCAATCTTAGAAATTCAAGAAAAACTTCTTAACGTAATGAGAATGATGATGAATCTTACCTTATAGTTCATGAAGAGGCATCTAGTGAAATAGAAAAGGGAAATACACATAACGCACACTTGCCTAGAAGGACAAATAGGAGATTGAATGGAATTATGTCATTTGAACAAGTGTATTATTCTGATAGAGGGTTCATAATTAATTACAGAGCTAATTATTCAGCATAGCCAAGTGATCGAAATACCTAGCTTGAGGACGCTTCCGATTAATGAGATTGTGAGATTAATAATATATATTAATCTCATATCTTGCTCTTGACTGGACCAACGGGTCATACCCAAGCAAAAAATCAACCGGAGAGACTGATTAAGCCGGAGGGCCTAAATACGTTGATAAATATATTTTAGAAACAAACGTCAAAATTTCGAGCTTGTAGAGTCAAAACCAAGCGTTAAACGTTAAGTCAATCTGAGGAATCGACTAAACAAAGAAAAATGTTAAGTAACACGATGAGTTAAGCACAAGGCCTTGCTACACCATACACACGATAGTAAAGCTTAGTTGCACTAAAAATAAGGACAACCAAGCTTTGTCTTAAGACATGGCCTAGAAGCATCCCAGCAGCCCACACAATAGCTCAATACGTTGTTTGCCATGAAAATGGGTTTGGCTAGGCAGAAACACATGTTAGCATTACTGGTTGGGCGCTAGCACTGCTAGTTTGCTACTTCCTGAGCCTCACTATGTTGTTGCCCAGTCCTCGCTAGCAACAGCTAGTTTGCACCAGTGCTAGCGCATGCCGTCTAAGGCCTGTGCGGACAGCTGCCTTGCTGCCCGAAATAGGTAGGGAATCCCCTTAGCTTGCTCTCCAAGCACAGGTTGGTCCTCCATCTACTCCTTCTCGTTTGTCATATTCGCTTGCCTATTTATTTTGGATATAAAATTTGGTTTTAAATTAAATTAAATGCCTAAGGTTTTAGATATTGAGAGGGTTACACACAAGAATTAGATTCTTGGATCTCCATTTAAGAGTGAGAACTAACCAAGAGTCTAAATTCTGAAGTTGTGTCGTGACAGAAGTTCTAATCTAACGTCTAAACCAAGGATGAAAGTGTAGGTGGACTTCGTTAGAGGAGTCGTGTTTGGCGGTCTTAGGCTCGATTTGAGTTAGAAGCACGCTACAATGGTATAGTTCTAACTACTTACGTGTTTATGTGTTAATCGTGATTGGATTGTTACATGGGTCCAAGGAACGGGTTTTGGTTTCCGCACATTGATTAGATCGATGTGAGACCCTACATCGATCTCTCGCAACGTTAGTGGATGAAGTTTTTCTGATAAATATAATTTGAGTGTAATAAAAGGTGACTTTGAGTAGCCTTTAATTAATTGGGTAAGCTAGTCCTCTTAGGCTAAGAAATGTGCCAGTAATGGTGTATGATGCATTATTGTTCCACTTAAATGAAATAAAGATATCCACTTTATTTAGAGGATTTGAGATGTGAATCATAAAACATATTTACCTTATTTAGAAGGTTTGAGAATCATACAACCTTATCTAATTGATAGGTTAGTCCCCTTAGGCTAAGAAATGTTCCAATAATGGTGTATGATGCATGCATTATTGTCCCACTTAAATGAAATAATAAAGGTATTTACCTTACTTAGAGGATTTGAGATGTGAATCATAAAACTTATTTACCTTATTTAGATAGTGTGAGAATCATACTATCTTATCCAAAGGATTTAATAATTATAAGATAATTTAAATTCATCCTCCCCTAATTGAAATAAACATATAAAGTTACACTATAAAAACATAGCTCTTATACCCTATGATAACCAAAAAAAAAACCACACTACCTACCTTACTATTCATCACCATTTTCCAAACATCTCAACCCCACCCTATTCTGCCTACACACCATGCAACTTTCGATAGCTAGAGATAAAGTGGTGGTGATATTAGGCCCCACTGCATCAGGGAAATCCCGACTTTCTGTCGAAATTGCCTCCATATTCCCTTCTGAAATCATCAATTCTGACAAAATTCAAGTCTACAAAGGCCTTGACATTACCTCTAATAAAATATCATTAGAGGAGCAACTCGGTGTTCCTCACCATTTATTAGGAAACATTGATTCATCGAGTCATGACGAGATAAGCACTGCTCAATATCGTTCATGGGCTTCGTTGTTGATCTCTGAAATTAATAATCGTGGAAACCTTCCTATTGTTGTAGGTGGGTCAAACTCATTTGTCTATTCCCTTGTAGCAAAACAATTCAACCCAAACGTGGACATATTTTTCGAATCCTCCCAAGGATGTTTTGAGTTAAGGTACGATTGTTGCTTCCTTTGGGTCTATGTTTCACCGCATATATTAAACAAATATATAGATAAGCGAGTCAATGACATGCTTGAAAAAGGGATGCTTAATGAGTTGGCTGAGTTTCACCTATCAGAGAAAATGGGTAAGCATCAACCGTACAAAGGGTTGGCGAAGGCAATTGGTGTTCAAGAATTTGAAGAGTACTTTAAAAGGTATGCTAGTGAAACTAATGTGTTAGAGGGTGACAAAGTTCAAAGGCGTATGTATGAGGAAGCTGTGAAAGCCATAAAAGAAAATACATGTGAATTAGCAAGGAGACAGGCAAAAAAGATAAACTTTTTGAAAACAAAAGGTTGGAACATCACTATTTTAGATGGCACTTATTCTATTCAGGCATTGATGGATGGATCCAAGAGTTGGTTTGACATATGGGAGACTCAAGTTTTGAAACCAAGTGTGAAAATTGTCAAGAGCTTCCTAAAAGCCTAAGTCTTAAATTGATTTTAGCTATAAGAATATGATTTGAAAAAGTGAATAAAATCATGTAAGAAGTGCACAACTTTGGTATAAAACTTAAGTTGGCTAAAAGGGAATAATTGCAAATTCGATATTAGTAAGTGATAATTAAAAAAAAAAAAAAAAAATCGAATGTATATTCAAATGTTAACACAATATTTAGGCTCGTAAGTTTTGAGCCACCACATTATAAATGATTATTGTTCGTATAAAATGAAACAATTTATTCTACCACTTTTCTTCCACTTAATACTTATTCTTTGTTGACACCTATATTTGGCTCTATAACCTGAATAAAAAGTGTTGAGGTTAGAATTTCACTTCCTAACAAGATTGACGCCTAAACTTTACATAGACTTTAGAATAGCAAGCCAAAGTGTTAAATATTCCTCATAAGCCTAAAATTTTAACCAAACCTTGAACGAACATGCGTACAAACTACTTTATTAATTTATTAGTTCAAAACACTAGAATAGCCAAAACTACTTTATTAATTTATTAGTTCAAAACACTAGAATAGCCAAAGCACTTAATTTAAATTGAGCCTTTTGCTATTAGCAACCACGAACGACTTTATAAGTCACACCGTCACACGAGACATCAATGTGAAACTATGTGCAAACACCTAAAAGTGTCTCCTCAATTCAAACCCGATGATGAACAATCCCAACCTTTTGGATCGAGTTTCTTGTCGGATAGATGAATTGGTTAAGATTTTATTATTAGCCTAACTTAATATTTTTTTTTATTCATTAGTCTTTTTATTTTAATCCTAAGACCTTTTAATTAGCCTTCTCTTGTTCTATTCTAGCACAATTATATTATTTTTGGTCCAAATTTTTTTTAATTAGCCTTCCAAAATTCTTCCTTTAAGTGTTCCCAGACATTAGTACTTTACTCGAAGCTCCATCGTCCATGGTGTGAGAGGTTGATCATAAACCTCGAGGGTTTCAATCTAAACTCAATTTAATTTATTTTCTTTAATTTAATTTAGTTAATTTTATTTTACCTGGTAGTGAGCTTGAGGATGTTCCCATTCAAGTGAGGCACATCTATGTGCCTTGTGACTTTGTAGTGATGGATAGTGGAGGAAGATGTTGACACTCCTTTGATATTGGGACGTAAAGCTCTAAAAACCTTGGGGGTGGTCATTAATTGCAAAAAGAACACCATCACATGTGAAGTGGCCGATGAAAAGATTGTATTTGAGTTCTCTAAGTTACTCGAGACCCCCATGGTTGAGAAGTGTTATATAGTGGATATTGTGAATGAAGAGTTAGATCACTTGGAAGAGTCATGATGAAGTCCCAAAATTCTATGATGGAAGCCCTAACTTGCAAGGAAGAGTACCACTCATAAGAGGCTAAAAAAAAGCTAGTCATGGTAAAGGAAGAAGCTTCTTAGGAGGAGGAGTTGGAACAACAAGAAGAAGATGTGCTTGAGGAAGAGGAGGAGAAGTTGGAGGAGAGTTCTAAGCCTCCTCCCAAGGTAGAGTTGAAGCCCCTTCCCCCCTCTATGAAATATGCTTATCTTGGTAATGAATGGGAATACTTATTATTGTCAATGATGCTACCCTTGGTGGAATCGATTGGAAAAATTGCTTGTTGTGCTGAGAAAATATAGATATGTGATTGGCTATAACATTGATGATATTAAGGGTATTATCCCCTCTTTGTGCATGCATCAAATCCATCTTGAAGATGATCAATCCACCTCTATTGAAATCATGAAATTTGTTTGGAACCACATGTACACATGAAATTTTACTTAGGAAGAGTCACTTGCATGCACATGTAATTTCCAAAGAAATTTCAAGATGATCAATATTGGTTCATATGGTTCAAAAGATTTGGGAAGAGTCAAGAAAGAAATTTTGAAATTGCATGAAGTGGGCATCATTTATGCTAACTCCGATAGCAAGTGGGTTAGCCCAATTCATGTAGTTCCAAAGAAAGGTGAGATGGACATCATTAAGGGGGGAGGTGGAGAGGAAATCTCCACCCGGATGGTGACCGGGTTGAGAATATGTATCAGGAGATTAAATAAGAACACAAAGAAAGACTATTTTCCTCTCCCCTTCATGGATCAAATGTTTGAAAGACTTTATCACCATTCTTTCTTTTGCTTTTTAGATGGATATTCCGGATTCTTTCAAATCCCTATCCACCCCAAGGATCAAGAGAAAACGACTTTAACATGTCCATATGGGAAATTTGCGTACCATAGGATGCCCTACGGGTTATGTAATGCCCCATCCACTTTCCAAAGATACATGATTTCTATCATTTCCGAGATGCTTGAGAATGAAATTGAGGTTTTTATATATGCTTTTAATGTTGGTGGCTTGTATTTTGACATTTGTCTTTGCAATCTTGAAAAGGTGTTAAGGGACGAGTTTGATTTTGAATTAGGAAAAAATTCATTTTATGGTTGAGGAGGGCATTCTCCTAGGCTATAAGGTGTCCAAGAAGGGAATTGAAGTAGATCCGACCAAAGTTTTGGTGATTTCTAAGTTTCCCCCTCCTACTTCCATCACAGGAGTAAAAGCTTTCCTTAGGCATGCTAGTTTTTACCGGAGATTTATCAAAGTTTTTTCAACAATCACCAAACCTTTGACCGAATTGCTTAAGAAAGATGTTGAGTTTAGCTTTAACGAGACTTTCCTTGATGCAATTCATAAGCTCAAATTAAAGAAGCTCTTATCTCTTCCCCTATTGTAAAAGCTCAGAATTGGAGATTTCCCTTTGAACTAATGTGCGATGCGAGTGATTTTGCAGTGAGCGGAGTCCTAGGTCAAAGAAAAGATGGAAAATCCTATGTCATCTACTATACAAGTAGAATTCTTGATGAATCTCAAAAGAATAACACAATAACGGAGAAGGAAACGCTTGCGGTTGTGTTTTCTAAGGATAAGTTTAGGTCCTATCTTATTTATTTTCTCTAAGGTCATTGTGTAATTGTGTACACGAATCATGTAGTTATTTGTTATCTAATGAGCATGAAGGATGCAAAGCCATGCCTTATTCGTTGGGTTCTTTTGCTTCAAGACTTTGATATGGAGATGAGAGATAAGAAAGGAGCGGAAAACTATGTGGCGGATCACTTATCTAGCTAGGCTCCCTTTTGAGAACAAGGATGATGTTCCCATAAATAAGGAGATGGAAATTGAGACTCTCATGGCTATAGCTTCAACATCTAGTCCTTAGTATGCGGACATTTCCAACTATCTTGTTTGTGGAGTCATGTAATACCCCGTATTTTCATACGTATTTTCCTAATTAATTATTATTTTCAAAAAAGGGTATTTTAGTAATTCAATTTACTATTTAAATCTTGGAGCCAAAATGATATTTGAATTTTGGCGCCAAAAGTATTTTGAAAACTAATCATTATTTTGGATAAGATTTATTATCCATTTATCCTATTTTAAAAACTGGATTATTTATATTTCAGATATTTTAATTAAGGCAAAAGCTATATTTTATTATTATTTTAATAAGTCCAAAAAAACCCATTTATTTAGCTAATAATTTCAGATTTTCTTATGTATAAAATCTTATTTTTATTAGTTAAATTATTTGGTGAATATTTGGTATTTTATTATTTAATTATTTATTACAATAAATATTATTTACACAATTATTTTTAATTCCTTAAAACTAGCAAAATATATTCCTAAATACTAAATAGGAAGGCCGAAAATATGAGCTTAAGAAAGCTCAATAATTTCGGCCATCCCATAAAGATTTTGGGAAAATATTTTGGTAATTTGTATTTTTAATTATCTCCCTTAAATCTCCTATTTTCCATAATTCTAATTCTCCATCTTTTTGATATCCAATTATAATATTTTCTTGCCATTCATTCTTCTTAATTATTCCCCAAGCAGTTCCAATTTTCTTAACATTTTTCATGACATACATACCTTCCATATTCAATTATACACAATCCCTTCAAATATCAAAACTTTCCTTAAATCTTTGCTCACTTCTCCAAGTAATCTCTTAAACCCTAATTACCATAATTCTTCCTACATTTTCCTACCATAATTCATGCTCATACTAGCCTATAAATACCCCTTCATACCTCTCACATTCTTCACACCAATTCTCTTCTTTTTCTTCTCCTCAATTTTACACAAATCATCCCGTTCATCTTTGAAGCCAATTTTTGGGCACTTCTGGTCAGTTTTTGTGGTAGTGACGTTTCACAGAAAGTTGTTCCTCTAGAAAAATCCTTGAGTTTAGGCTCAAGAATCACCCAATTCGGAGCTATATCAAAGGATTTATAGCCTCTGAAAGTTCTGCCTTTTATTTCCTACGCAAATCCAATTCTTTTCTTCTCCTTTTCTTTTATTCAATTATTATTATTATTATTATGGGAGATTAATATAAAATTATTATGAGTAGTTTTAATTATATAAAATCAGATTTTAATAATGTTCATGTTGAATTAATTTAAGAGGTTCATGTACATTTAGTTGGGAGGGTTTAATTTAATTATTTGTGATTATTTGTTAACCTTATATTGATTAAGGTTATATTTACTTGTAGGGTGTTTTTGATCAAGCTACTTGAGATTTTTTTTTGAAGTGTTGTTGGCTAAGTGAAGATCAAGGTACGTTAGGTGGCTAGATACCTTGAAAGTGATCGATTTGAATAACATGTTTGAATGATTTTATGATGAATTAAATTAAATTGACTTGAATTATGGTTTATGAATTAAAAGTATGTTTAAAGGATTGGTTTTAATAATTAAATTGGAGTATTGATTTTTATAACATGTTTTGAATAATTAATTTATTATTCATGTTTAAAAAGGATTGATTTTGAAAGCAAGTTGGATTTATTGAAAAGGAGTTTGGATTGTTTTCATTAAAAGTTGAATTATTGGATTTAAAAGAGGATTTATTGAATCATGGATTTATTATTATTTATGATTTATAAGCATGTTGGTAATCCCACTATGCGGATTTGGTTTATTGATAAGGCCTTGGACTTTGCATGGCTGGATCTTTCCTCAAGAATAGCCTTGTAACATAAGGAGACTAGCTTGGGGGGTGTGCACACTTGGGAGAGGAATTGGTTTTAACATGAGGAATTGGTTTTAAAATAATTGGATTTGGTTTTATTGATTATTGATATTGGAATTTATGAGAATTGGTTTTAAACCATGAGTTTGGAATTATTAGATTATTTATTGGAAATTGGTTTTAAAGCATGTTTGCGAATAAATTGAATTTAATTATCTTGCACTTACCGTACTTAGCATATTTTGCTAACCCGTACTTCTTATTTGTTTTGGTTCGCCCTGTTTACCGTAATGGTAAGCAGTGTTGCTTATTTTCAGGTTAGAGTCAATAAATGATGCATTGGAGTCCCGGGATTGGTTTTCACTAAATTAGGAATTTGGTCTTGTATCTATTTTGAGTACTCATAACATTGGTTACTATTATGATTATTATTAATAAAGAAGAGTATTGAAGTTTCCGCCGCAAAGTATTGTTATTTTTAGTAAGTTGAGTAGCCTTGCGTAATCACGCGGCGGTAATACGCCTAAGTCTATCTCTACGGTATAATTATACGGATAATACTAGTATTTCCGTAGAGGGAGATTTGGGGGTGTTACAAGTCATTCCCCTAGAATTTTCCTCTCAACAAATTAAAAGAAGAGATTTTTCAAGAAAGCGAGGAGATACTTTTGGAATGATCCTCACTTGTTCAAACAATGTGGAGATGGCCTTTCTCGGAAAAGTTTTCCGGATCATGAAATTGAAGGAGTTTGGTGGACATAGTGGCGTTGACATAATAGTGACTAAAATCTCTCAATCTCTCTTATGGTGGCCAATAATGCATGAAGATGTTCACAAGTTCAAAAGAATTGGTGGAATCACCAAGAGAGATGAAATGCCTCAACAAAACATCTTAAGAGTTGAGCCTTTTGATGTATGGGGTGTAGACTATATGGGGACTTTTGTTTCTTCGTGTGGGAATTCGTACATTTTGGTGGCGGTTGATTATATCACTAAGTGGAATAAAGTTATCCATTCCCCCACCAATGATCATAAGGTTGTGCTCAAGCTTCTCAAGAAGATCATTTTTCAAGGTTTGAGGTCCCTAGGGTGCTAATTAGTGATGGTAGTTCTCACTTTGCCAAGAAGCAACTTGGATCTCTTTTCAAGAAGTATAGGATCCATCACAAGGTTGGTTTGCCTTATCACTGTCAAACTCAAGGGTAAGTGAAAGTGTCTAATAGAGAGATAAAAATTCTTCTTAAGAGAATGGTGAACAAGTCAAAGGAAAGATTGGTCACTTAAGCTTGATGACACATTATGGGCATTGAGAACAATATACAAAACCCTATTGACACAACTCCTTAACGTTTTGTCTATGGTAAAGCTTGTCATTTTCCGGTTGAGTTGGAGCACAAGGCTTGGTGGGCTATTAAAGAGCTCAATATGGATTTGTCATTGGCCAGAGAAAAAAGATTGCTTAAGCTCAATGAATTGGAAGAACTTAGATATGATGCCTATGAGAACTCAAAGCTATACAAGGAGAAGACTAATAAGTGACATGACCAACACATAAGGAACAAAATTTTCAAGGTTGGAGACAAGGTGTTGTTATTCAATTCTAGGCTTCACTTGTTTCCCAAAAGGCTAAAGTCCAAATGGTCGGGCCCTTTTGTGATATAAGAGACTGATCCTTATGTTTCATCTGAGTTGGAGGCGGGTGATCATAAGCTCATGGTGATTAGCCATTGTTTGAAGCATCATACAAGGATGAAGTTGGTTTGATTGAGTGCATTAGGTTTGATCCGATGGATCCCAAGCCACTTCCTTGAGGACATCATCTCATGGTCAAGCTAGTGATCTCATAAAGAAGTGCTTCCGAGAGGCAACCTGAGATTTCTATCCTTTCTTTCTTTCTTTATTTCTTCTTATTTTGGTTGAATTTTGTTTGCTTTTATCTTAGTTCTTTTCCTATATTTCTTTTGTTTTTCTTGTGTGTTTTTTCACAAGAATTTGAATTTTGGGTATTGAGCCTATGGATGAAGATTTGAAGAAGTTCTAAGGTCGGTAGGAATGAATTTTGAAGCTAGAATTAGAGTTTGATAGGAGAAAGAATCGAAATTGAATTTGAAGCCTTATTCAAGAGCCGCGCCCAAGGATAGCACTTTCTAGGTCACCGCGGGTGCAACCAGAAGGGAAGAGGGCCCGGTGCCCGAATTTCAAGACCCCCAAAATGTTCCTGTAGATGCCGCGTTGCGCCCAGGAAGAGGGCACATCAAAGAGTACTGCAGGCACGACACTGCTCGCCGCGAGCACGGTTGCTAGCTCGACGTAGGCGCGGCCCAGGCGCCGTGGAAGCGGTCTGCTGGGTTTCTAAAACCCGGATACGAGAGGCCAAGCCTCATATTTCTCTTTTCACCCTCCTCCATTTCGACTTTCCCTCTCTCTCTAAAAATCCCAATTCCCTCAAACCCTAACTCCTCCAACACCTCAAATCTCAACCATTTCCCACTCAAACGTCCATCAATTTGCTTTTGTACTTCCTCCGTTCCTTTTTATTGGTTACATTTTGATTATTTTTCGACTTAAAAATTTCAGATATACCTAATAAAAAAGGAATATTAAGAGTATTACAATTGGGAGAGAAGTGTAACAAGAAAATTTGTCTTTTCTAACATTATCCATTACAAAATATAAAAAAAATGTCACGTTGAAAAAATTATTCCGCAAAGATGCTATGGAAATGTCAACCATAATGGAAGTGTGGTATGTGGATCCAATTATCAAAACAAATTATATCTTATCTTCTTTATTTACTAATTTGTGTTTTATGCCTAGTCAATTGCATCCACCATTTGGTGGAAAAAAACCCGAAATAAATTAGATTCAATGAATTATAAAAAGATTTAAAGAGAAACTTCCGGCAGATTTTCATGCAGAAATTTCTATGACAAAACATCCAAAGCAAATGTACCTAATTCTTGGTAGAATATCCCGGCTATTCAATACTACTCGTACAATTTTCTTTCAACGTCCTTTTCTTGTAAAAATCATTCACGTTTCTTAGAAGCATGGAACCCAGGAAGTATATGGTTCTTCATCAGCTCTTTGAACTTACGACTCGTTTAGTACTCTGTAGATGATAAATTGGTAATACATGTCGATTGTCATTAATGATAAACTGGCAATATATGTCAATTGTCATTAATGACAAATTGCTAGTATACCTTCTATATTCATTTTCTCCCTGTTTTAATCAATACTCCATAATTTGTTAGACAAATCATCTATACTACCAGCCCTCACTTTGTACAAGAAGTTTGAATAGAGCCACGTTATTCACGATACCAAGCGTCTCTTTTAGACTTTTGCTACAGTAGTTGTGTTTCAATGGGTTTCTATCATTGAACCCTCTTTTGCTGAAAGAATCAGCATGAATACATCAATTATGATCAAAATGTATAATACAAGAATAAGAATGTAAGGATTGATTTCACCAATATGGGATGAATGTAAATCTCTCGAACATGTACAAAGTCCATCAATCTACAGCTAAAATCTCAGATGGCCACAATTTGAAGTGTTGGAAAACTTCTACCATCTTACAAAGAATCCCAGAATAGCATGCCAATATCCATCAAGCTGCCACACAATAGCATTAGTGTATTACACTCAAACTATCGATATGTAGGCTTCTTAACCCAATAAAGCATTAAACCAATAAACCATACAACAAAATACACAGTTACAGGCTTACAGCATAATAGAAAAGACAACATACCTGACCCAAAATAGTCTTTCCTGTATGGCCTTCAATGACTAAACCAGCAGTAAGGCCAATCATTGCCCACGCTCCATTGATAGCTTCAATTTGACGTCTTCTCTATGGTCATAAACTTCAGTTACATTTTGCTTATGTGTGAATGGAAAAGAGGAGGGGGGGAGGCATTAATGCAAAGGTCCTAAACCCTCATGTATAAGAATTTTCCCATCGAAGTTCGAACACCATTAAAATTAATAAATACTTCTTAATAGTTTTCTCCATCCCATTATACCTCTATTACTCCAATTATGAGGAAGACAACATTGGAATTCTAAACTTAATCTTATTCTATTTTAGGGCATGTGATAGTTTTTTGTGAGCACCCAAAAATAGTATATACTTGACTATAGTTCCAAACAGATTAACATCAAGTCAAATTTACATGCTGCTGGACCCCATCCAGGCAGCATGCATGGAGCGGTGATTTATTGTTGGTTTTTACCAAAAGAACCCCAGATGAATTACAGAAACAGATGCTCTGTCTCTCATGTTCTGCCAGGAAGAACTTGCAAGGCTCAGGCAACTATGAAGACGAAGAAAGATGGATCAAAGCAGCTCACACAGAAAACTAAAGCTGAAGAGATAAGCTTCTACTATAGGCCAGTAGATATGCTCATCAGGGATCAGACCGTCCTTACATAAAATATGAGTACATGGAGCACGAAGGTCAATAGAAACCGTAAGTCAAATACCCTGTGGGCCTGTGGCACAAATGTTCAGATCTGAAATTATGGGTAGAATTGCTGAAACATTTATGACAAATATATCTACTCATAATATATCAATTAGCTTGTTTCACAATTAATCTAGGCAGGTCAGACACAAGGTTCTATATATTTAGATCTCCCAAAACCTTGGCAAGGGTAGGTGCCACTCTATGAAGTTGATTTCCTTCTTTCTCGGCAACAAATGGGTGATGTTGATTCATTAAATAAGCTGGATGCCTTCTAAATCCTTTTGGTCTGGTGGCATTTGCAGCAGCTTCCACATGGAGTTCTAAGTTTGCGCTTAGGGAGCCTTAACTCCTCATTTGGAAGTGAGGACTATGAGGGAGCAACAACAGGCCTTGGATGTGGATATTTCCTTGTGAAATGAGCATTATCCTAATAGCCTAAGCAGCACTTGAGGGGTATATGCCTCACCCAATGGCACAGAATCACCATTTCCATAATTCCCACCCCTAATGAACGTTACAAAATGATCAAAAATCACTTTTTTTTTTCAATTTAGCCAACTAAATGCCAATGGTTCACAAGAACAACAATACTACTATCCTCATTGCACGTCTTTAATTTTAGGGCATTCCTCCTTCATTCATTCATTTTATTCATATTAGTTTTCATCCAATAAAGCCATTTCTTAAACATAAATTTTACACAATCAATGCGTGGAACGGAGATCTAGCTTAAAGTTTGGACTTTAGCACATTCTCAATTTGAAAAGGGGTAGGATTTTATGTACAATAAAAGGGGTCAAGTGTCTTCTATTTCAATGTAAAACAAAGGTGAGACTTTACAAACACTCTTAGGTTTCTAAATTAGATGTTTTGAGAGGTGTGGATTGTAATTCAAGGGGGGTTGTGACTTGTGAGTTGAGACTTATACTCCATAATTGTTAATAGTGAACTCATGGTTTTCTCCGACTAGTTAGTGAGTGGTGTATTCCGGTAAAATATCGTTTTCCATTGTCTCTTATATTTTGTGTGTTTTCACTTCTACTAATCCTAAAAAAAAATTAGCCTATTATATGAAAGGGTTGATCCAAGCCCATCAATCTTCATGGATTTAGATATCCATCATTAATTGCTCTATGCCTACCACTGCTACCAGAGTGAGATGCTTCAAGATAAAACATGCAATCTTAAGAATCCTCTTAGATGGAGTAAATAAAAAAAAGGTAAACGAAAAACAGCATAATTAAGGACTTCAGATCAATTGATGGACTCATGTGACCCAATTCCCCAACTTTAAGCTTGAGATATTTGTCACAAAGGAAAGCAGTCCAAATTGTGCAGCAAATAAGTTCAGAGAAAGAAATTTACAAACCTCAAATTTCTCTTTTGATCTTATTTCTACATATTGTTTTGCAGCTAATTTTTTGGCCTCCAATGGATCCACCATCAGTACTTCTTTCCTAAAACTCCCCTTTCCTGAAGAAGCCTGAAAGAGAAAAAGATTAACTCATTAATATATAGCATTGCCTCATCTAGCAATTATTGACATAGTCACATTGTAGAATCAAGCTCTTGTCAATTGGGGACATGAAATTTTGTTGTCAAAGGGTCATAATCTCACCACAAGCACAACTCAAGTCCAAAAACATCTACAAGCCAATGATTTAATAGGAAAGTATTAGGAGGACACCAAGCTAAGAAGAAAAAAACGCTAAAAACAAAAAAGCTGATGCCCTTAAGCTACAGATAATAACGAAAACACAAATGATTAAAGATCACTTTGAGAAATTAATGAGAATGTCATAATTATCATCCACTACTAAAATTCGATATGGACAATATCTTCACCTTCCATTATAATTTTTATATGTTCTTAAAGTGGTATCATTAAAAATATTATTTAAGGATGAAGGGAAAGTTCAATTACAGTATACTAATCAGGCAAGTGACCTGATATTTGGGACATCCTCTACAGTAATAGGTCTATTATTCAAGGATGAAGGGAAACAGGGAGTGACCAGATATCTACAAAATCAAGAAACTCAAACTGAAACTATGGATTTGTCAAACTTGATCCAAAAACAAATTGTATACCTAGAGTAAATCCAGATTATATGCAAACTAACTAACCCTTATCATATAGTTAAAGTCCTTAATTGCATACGTTAGAATCGGCTAGCATACGAAACACACCCCTCGTATGTGCAAACTGTCTTGAATGCTGCTTTCCCATCAAATGCCATCTGAAAGAAATTAGCCATTATTATTTACATATGAGACAATCATTAAAGAAGTCAAAGAGAAAATCATCTGGGATTGAAATATTATTCAATTATCACCTATGAGTTACATTAAGTGTACCAACATTTACAAACACAAAGGATATCAATATATCATTCATGTCAAATCATTTAACACTCAATCCCCTCCCCCCTCTCTAAAAAAAAAAAAAAAAAAATCAAAGATAATGATTTTTTATTTTTATTTTTATTTTTTTATTTTTTATTTTTTGTTAGAGAAGCTAAGCTCCCCCTGCCCCTAAACCTAAACAAATTTTATAGATTAGAGCTTTATGCCCCTTGTGTTGAATCATTCAGAAGTAAAAACGTAACATTGATATAATAAAAATCCATGACTACAAGAAGCCAAAGTGGTAAAATAGAACCAAAAAAACTTCATAGCAATCTTTATTCTGGGTAGCCAATCCTTTACGTAGCACATGTTGACAGACTCTCTGCCATACAGCCATGACAACTAAGAGGTATGCAAACAGAACAAATTAATTAGTTAACAACATCTCACAACTATAGCTAGGCCATACTCATTTATAAACATTAGTACATATTGTGAATGAAGCTGATAATATGACATACATAGTAAACAGCTAATGAAGCACAAGAAAGATATAGATCCCAATATAGCAACATCATTCCCCATTTTTTAAGCACAGTGTCACTTCATTTCCATGGTTCCACCACAAAAATCTTAAGCCCAACATGACAACTGACATGGGGTTGAGGATAAAGCTTATGTGCCTTTCGAAATGGTAGGAGAAGGAGTTCAAGAAAAGAGTCAAGTCGGGTTTATGATAAGAATTCATTTTGGCTAATATTAATTTGGTTTACCACTATCTGCATAGCATACGGTGTCTAACTGTCTACTATCTAATGTTCTCATGCACAGCCTACCTACTCAACTCAGAGCTAATATATTACACAATATATTTCATTAGTAAGTTTAAGACCCTTTCCCTCCCTCTCTTGCATCCAATGATTGTCTTCTAACTAGCCTGATTTAAGAGAAGGAAAAATGCAAAAAGGCCATTCGTATATTGTGGATAGAGGTAAAGGGTAAGGCGGCGTGAATTCATACCTCCATTGACCCTGTCAATGATACTAGGTGGGCTGGAAGCTGAGTGAAACATCACTATTTCAGGAAACAGTGGCCTTTTCCAGCCCATTAATAGCCTATGTTGGAAGAATGGTGCATATATCTTGATGGACATACAAAAATATAAAAACAAAACATCTTTCAAAGCCAGGCAAACTAAAATTCTTCCAGTATATTGTATAAATACTCCCTCATTCGAAATCAATTGTCACGCGATATTGTACTTGAACTAGTGATGCGACAACTAGTCCTCCACTCCTCTCACATTGAACATATATACCCAATAACTTCAATATACAACCCTAGTGAGCTGCCAACATTGCAATAAGGACTGCAATTACCGCGCTCACCCTCATTAAACATTTATACGGCTTACCCTTGATGAATGCTGGGCTCTCATATACGAAGTATATACTTATGAGTTATGAGTTATGAACAATGTAACAATTACAAGTATTACAGTAATTCCATAGCTCATGTATAGTGAAGAATTACCGGAATTTCCCCTCAAAATTCCAAGTACAACATAAATAATTACAATTGCAAGAATTTCAATTTGTATTTGTAAGCTGGAATTGGGGTTTCCCAAATTTAATACAAGTAGAAAAATTCTAATTTCCAACTAATTTTGTATTGTATTCAGGGAAACTTTGAACAAGGGCATGATTAAATTTCCTCTAAATTATGCAAAATTCTCGAAAAAAAAAGACCCAGAAAGAAAAATCGAAACATGGACAAATCGAGAAGATAGAAACAGGAAAATAATGAAGGGAATATGGAAATGAAATTGAGTGAGCTTACTGCTGTATAGGAGCGGAACGTTGAGTTAGGAAGGATTGACGCGGGGTGGAGGGGATGATGCATCCAATGATTGGGAGAGCTGAGGCTGCCATTTTCAGCTTCAACCTACTATCTTCAATTATCTCTCTTCTCCTCACTTCTTGGTCTTTGTAGTTAGTGGTTGAGGCAACGGGGCACACCCTTCATCATAATTTTTTTTTTTTTTTTTTTTTGGGTGTTTAGAGAGCCACGACTCCTCGAAGACAGCGGAATAGGTGATGAAAACCAATTTTATGTTTAGGTAAGGGAAAACTTTAACCACTTTTAAGTTATCTCTCACTTTCATACCGTTTATTTTTTTTATTAAAAGAATTGAAATAAATATATAAGTAGTAAATTAATATATTTGGAATTGTGAATTTGTGATATACGAGTATCAAAGGATACGATTTTACAAGAATGAAGTATTAAATTAATTTATTTTTTTTTGAAAGAAAACGATATGAAGTATTAAATTATTTGTTTAATTTGATTAGACGTGAAGAGGGAAAGGGGCGATATTAGAGGAGTAAAGTCCAATGCTAGAGCGATTTTATTTTTTAAAAAAATTGTATTTTAATTAAGAGATTAAACATATATAAATCCTTTTGATTTTAGCAATAGTGAATAAGACGTATAGGCCTCTCTTCTAACAATATTCAAATAACAACTTTTCATAATTTATGCATATTGATAATTAATGCTCGTATATCGTATATCATAAGTCTAAGTTTCACATCGATAAGATATCAGTCAAATGGGACACTTAAATAAAATAGCCTAAACAAGATATTAACATTTCATTTGAGTATTAAGACTATTAACTAATGTTTCAAAAAAAAAAAAAAGACTATTAACTAATAGTTGTATCATACTTAAATGTTTTAATAATTTAAATTTCATTTAACTATGTCACAACTTATTACTTCCCAATTTTACCACACTCATATCGTCATACGTTTAACCTAAAAGACGTTTCAAACAACGTACACGTGTCATGTAAGCTCCCCTCAATACACCACGTCATCTATTCAAGTACTCATAAGTCATAACGCCACGTGGCTCTCCCTTCCATTGATTTCCATTACATGTCGTGCACTCATAATAATTAAAAAATAAAAATTCTCCACTAAATATCTTACCACCAAGCTACGTAATACTTTATGTAATCTTTTGAATACAAAATATTAAGATGTAGCAAATGACAATATGAATAACAAATTTAATTACAAGAAAATTAATCATAATGTATAATGTATACTATAATCAGTTAGAATGCCTAAAAACTAGTTTACAAATGATAAAGAAGTGGAGTATTTCGCTTCCCATTTCCCAAATTTACCACACATCATGGCATCATGAGTACTTTTTTTTCGATTTTTTTTCGGTTCAGTTTATTACTAGTTCGATTCTTTTTCGGTTCATTTTATAATTGATCCAGTTCAGTTTATGACTGGTTCAGCTCTTTTTCGGTTCAGTTTATGGCAGGAAGATATTTTATATTATGATAATAATTTGGCAGGAAATATTTTATACTATGATAATAAATTTTCAATAAATATTAATTTGGCACGAAGAATTTTTGTACTATGATAATTAAATTTCATTTAAAACACCTTTTAACTTGATTTTAATATTCTCTTTACAGTAAGCAGTTTGTAGTCGATTCATTTATAAGCGGTCCGTTTCATAAACGATTCAGTTTGCAAGCGGTTCGGTTTATAAACGGATCGGTTTATATACAGTTCGGTGCAAACGGGTCGCGGGTTGTTAACGGTTCGGTGTCAATGTTTTTTATCCCGGTTCAAACGGTTTCGGGTTAAAAGCGGTTTCGGGTTAGAAACTGTTCGGTTCTTTTTCGGTTCGGTTTAGAACTAGTTCGGTTCATTAACGGGTTCGGTTCTTATACGGTGTAACGCTATTCAGATCGCTTCGGTTTCGAGTTCATTCACATACGGTTCGGGTCGGTTTTCGATTTTAAAAAACGGTTTTTAGTCGGTTCGGTTCTCATTTTGGTCAGTTTATTTCGGGCACTTAAACGATTTCGGTTTGAAATTCGAAAGGACTGTATACAAAATATCACCACTTCATTACACGGGTTCGGTTCTTATACGGTGTAACGCTATTCGAATCGCTTCGGTTTCGAGTTCATTCACATACGGTTCGGGTCGGTTTTCGATTTTAAAAAACGGTTTTTAGTCGGTTCGGTTCTCATTTTGGTCAGTTTATTTCGGGCACTTAAACGATTTCGGTTTGAAATTCGAAAGGACTGTATACAAAATATCACCACTTCATTACCATATTCCTCTACAGAAGCCACCTATCAGTCTATCACGTAATTACGATAAATTGAGCCCAACTTCTTCATCATTTTTTTCACAATTTTACTTCCAACACATTTTCTCTTGTAATTACAGTACTTTTTTTTTTTTTGGACACAACATAATTACAGTACTTTCAACACGAACCATAATTATTTAATCTATTCCCAAATTGTACACCCTATCACACGCCAAAGAAGATAAAAATTACAAAGGAACTTAAATTGAGCATTTTCATAAATAATGTTAAAATTAAAAATATTTTCGTGTGTACATTGCTTTAAAAAAATATTTCCCACCATATCATCCACGTAGGCTCGGATTTTTGGTTTGTTTGTTGGCTATTAATAAACCGCTAATAAATATTGCGGTTCTATACAAATTAGAACCGCTAATGGTATTAGAGGTTCTTCAAATAGAACCTTTAAGACCATTAGTGGTTCTATTTGAAGAACATGTAATGGTTAGAGGTTCTTAAAATAGAACCTTTAATGGTATTAGCGGTTCTATTTGAAGAACCTCTAATACCATTAGCGGTTCTATTTGAAGAACCTAAACATAAAGCGTAATAAGTCACTGAGTATTTTAAGTATAAACCGCTAATAATATTAGCGGTTCTTTTTTAAAATCCGCTATTGTTATTAGCGGTTTATAGCCTCAGATTTTACAACCTAACACTAATCCTACGTGTACGGTATCACGGAAAATAGTTTTAAAACTGACATATATACGGAATTATTTTTTATTTTAGCATTATTTACCCAAATCACTCAACTCAAATTTCCAATAATAACAAAAAAAAAAAAAAATTAAAAACCTTAAAATGTTAAAGAATCAAGTATCAATAATTCTCGACCCTTGAGAGTGCTAAAGAGATAAAGGCATCACTACAAACAAGATCCAAAGCATGTGCTATAAATAAAGCAAAGTATCATTATCATTTATCACATCTAGAGATAATGGATATATTAAAAAAAAAAATAGAAATTAAAAGTCATAATCATCAATTATATCTAATTGTTCTTCTTCTTTAATTACATTTCTTTTCCTACAATCAAAATATAAAACCGCAAATATTACATAACTCCATAACACAAACCACCCTAACAAAACCACCAATCCTACCATACATCCAAACCTCATCTCCGCCGTCCACGTGTACCCTCCGCTATCATTTGCCAAATCTTCACCGTTAATCACCCCAATCATCTGCCTCCCTATAAAACCCGAAATTGAAAGTATCAAGCCCGCCAAAACCCACCCACAAACCCGCCTTCCTTTCATTAAACCCCACCCAACCCATATCGCTTCATACCCGACCCGGCCTTCTACCACGGACACGACAAGCCCAACTGCAAACACTGACATTAAGTACACCTCGACCGCCACCTGGGCCGCCGTCAAGTACCAGTACTCGACGGCGACTCTATTTACGATGGGATCCAAATGGGCCCACCCCACCCACGCGATAAAGTTAAATAAGCACGTGAGTATGGGTGGGGACCATCTGACCCTGAGAGCAGATATCGCTGTCCTGAGGGTCACTTTCTTTTTCCTGCGTAGAGCAGCATGGGTCGAAACAACAATAGTAGTCAAAGCAATAAAAGACAACAGGAAAATGGGAACACCGTGTAGGAGCTTACGACGAAGCAGCTTCTTCGAGTCAGCTCGAGACTCGTCTTGAATATTGGCTGCTTCCATCCAAATAGGAACCACATCGACGAGCCATTGAAGGCGGGCGATGTGGGATTTAAGGAAGCGAGGCGTGGCGGAGACGGAGTTGGAAGTTATGAGGATGGCTAGTGGGAGGGTGGTGACAGTGTAGAGGATTAAATAGAGGTTGGGATTGTGTAAGAAGATGATCTTCAAAGAATCTAGGAAAATGGAAAATAAAGGAGTTAAGAAGTTGGTAAATAAGAAGTTGGATTTGGAAATTGGTCTAGTTGTTGAATTAATTTCATTCTCTAACATTTTGAATTTGGTATTGAAATTAATTGCTGTTTTTGGAAATATTATGTGTATTTGATGAGATGGGATTAATTGAAAGTAGTTGATTGGATTAAAAAGGAATGAAAGTCGTATTCAAAGAGAAGAACAAATGAAGTAAAGTCGTCGAAAATTGAAGAAATTAGAAGAGGAAGGAGTGAGTAGATGGCTAGTTGTATTACCCTGACAAGGTCGCGTGTGATCCGCAATTTCTTTCAATTGTTTTTGTTTTGTTTAATTGAAAAGTGTTTAGAGAGGGGTGCGTGAGAAGTGCCTAATTGAAGATTTTCCGTGGGTTGTGTTTGGAGAATAATTATTCTTGGTCTTTTTAATTGTGGGTTTGCTCACTTTAAATACGAGACAAAAGTCTACAGCATTTGCATTCTTAAAAGTTTTTGGGTTTAGTTTGAAGTTTAGTATAGTAATTAATTAGACTAAGACCCTGTTCTTTTGAGCTTCTGGGCAGGGTAGGGCAGAGCAGAGTAAAGCAGGGATCAGCAGAGCGGAGCAGATTAAATTTTAGTAGAGTAGAGCAGAGCAGATTTCAGGATAGCATAGCAGAGCAGAGCCGAGCTGAGCAGATTTCAACATTATTATTAATACTATTATTAATGTTGTTGTTGTTATTATTATTATTATTATTATTATTATTATTATTATTATTATTATTATTATTATTAAAACCTACAAATCCAAACAAATTACAAAAAATTGGTAGGGAGCCGAGATACAATCTGGGCCCCCACTCCGATCCTCTAGTTATAGCGAACCCGATTCTATTGAAGATGTGAGCAGCTGCATGAGCACCAATATCCTGCGTCTTAGCGAACGCCTGAACCCGTTTCAGCAACGCAATAACATCCTTATCTAATTCCCCTAACGAAGAAAAGGAGAAAGGAATATTATTATTATTATTATTATTAAAATCATTTTTAATATTAATAATTATTATAATTATTCAAAATAATAAATTATTATCATCAATACAATATTAATTATTATTATTGAATATTAATTATTATTGTTGTTATTATTAATTATTATTTGAAAATTGAGCAGAGTAGAGCAGAGCAGATCAGATCAGCTCTAAAGAACGGGGTCTAAGGGTCTATTCACTTTAGCTTCGAAAGATAGGGTCGAGTCTGATACATCAACCGTCTGTCTACTCAATATCCTTGTACGAGTCCACAATCACTACACGAGATGAACCCTGGTTTGGTGAATTTTAGTTGGCCTTAGGTGTAATAGGACTCCCAGTTACTGCGCGTTCAATCCTATCAGCCCTTCAAGCAGTCTCTGTTCGTCCAGTCTTTCTATTCTTGTCAATCTTGGAAGTCGTGTAAGCCAACCATTGGGACCACCTATTTGTTCGTTTACCAGGTTATCCCCTCAATAGAAGAAAAAGGGTAAGTAAAAGAAAGGCTTTTCATTCCCATCTCGAAATGCGGAGTTCGTTAGTTCAATTCAGTTTAGCTCCAATCAGTTCAGTTCAGCTCCTAATTTTCTTCTCTCATAAAATATTCATTTTAAGCTCAGTTCAATTCAGTACAGTTCAACTTCAATAATTCAGTTCAATAAATATGAACAGGCCCTAAGGGTGTGTTTGACAAAGTATAACTTTAAGCTGTTAATTGATAGTTGTTTATAAACTGTTAGCAGTGAAGATAGATAATTAAGGTATGAAATGTTCCGGAAAAGTAGAGGTTGACTTGCTAGCAATTACACATAAATTAAAAATCAATATATTTTTTTCCCTAAATCTATAGATTAAATTTTCATTAGCTACCTCTAATATTAAAAAAGCTAATATTTCTATCTTTTGATAAAAACTACCTTCGCCACTAAATACTACTCCAAGTCTCCAACTACATTGCCAAACAATCATATTTTTAATTAAATAGTGGCTTGATTGGGTCAAAACTCTAAAAGTTACTACCTGTCCAACACGCCTTAAGATGTGTCGTCATGGCGTGGGTTAGTGCATAGATGGATTGTTATGAGATTTCATATGAGGGTTTATGGATTCTTAACTCTATAGTTAGTTGTCTAAACTTGTTTGATCTATTTTTCAAATAGCGGGCTGTTGCATTTCATTAAATGAATGAATTGTAAATATTAGTAGATAATTAGGCGGGTATGAGAATCTAGGGAGATGGGGTGGAATAAATTATATTTCAATCCATTCCAAAAGCTCCAACCAAACAACCCCTAAACTTGTTGCTTATGATCTAATTTGATTGTTTGATTTAACTAAACTTTGACATTATATGTATGCTAATTTAAAAGGGAAAATAAATAAATCAAGAGGGGTCTTATGAGATTTGTAATAATATAATTTTCAAAAAAAAAATAATGTTACTCTTTATGATTTTGATGATAACACGACCTAACTTATTTACAAACTGATAAGAGCTTGATTGTTTGCGTGCGTGATTAGTTGCAATGACTAGGAGAATTAAGTGTCTTGCAAATATTCCATGAGGAACAAGATAACCAGGAACAAAGCAATCCAAAAGTAAAGAGTTCCCTCACAGGAACTAGTGCTTCAGAAATGAAGACTTAAGAAGAGAAGTTTCCCCTGAGGGAACTTAAGCTTTAGAGTGGAAGCTTCACTAGAGAAGAGAAGTTCCTTCTAAGGAACAGAAGCAGAAAAACATGAAGACTAATATATTTTTATATTTTAGGATTTATATAAGTATAAGGATAATATTATATTCGAAATAGTAGTGTGGAATTGGTCTAAAAAAATTAAGTTGTGCATGCTTTGTTTTAGGAAAACAATTGACTTTAAAATCTTATCTCTTTGTTTTATAAAAAGGATTTTATTTTACTTATTTTCAAAAATCAGTTAAACAAATAAAATCTGTTTTGTTTTCCAAAACTTGCGGCATACTCCCCATGATCTTTCTAAGTCATGGCTTGACACATTGAGGAGTTCATGCCCCTTGATTTTAGGACATGTTCTTCTTAGTGGGTTAGAGAAGCGACGTCATGGATACGCTGCACAAAGAGGTTTATCCAAAGTGAATTTTGTTCTATAAATAGTCAGTTGATTTCAGTTGGAAAACTCACCCTTGCTAAAATAGATTTCATCTTTTGTTTTCTTTAATCGAGTTAAGAGTACAATTCCACATTAGTGAAATAGAGTGTTCTAATGTCTTTATACCAGATTTTATTCTTTCAAGTTGTATTTTGGGGAATTGGGAAGTTTGAGTGAAATTCTGTTTAGGAGAAATAGAAGTGAGAAAGAGAAGAGAGAAGAGAGAAAAGGAAGAGAAGGGTAACAAGTTGGGTGACTTGTTCCTTAGGGCTTTGAGCTCGTTTAGGAATTCAACGTTAGAATCTTTAGTTTGTAATAGGTCCTTTTGCCTTATTCTAGTGAAGATTCTTTTCCTAAAATCCCAAATGGTCGTGATTTTTCACCTTGTTTGGGGCCAAGGAGTTTTACATGTAAAATCTCTCTTGCATTTTCAGTTCATTTAGCTTACTTATTTTTATTTCCGCAAAAAGTTTGACAAAACTACCATACTACAATTCACCTCCCCTTCCTGTAGTATTTATTGAAATAACAAAAAAATTATTACAAAATTAAAAGGTATTTAGCGATAAAAAAACCGCACTTGAAAGAATAATAAAGTATATATTTACAACTAATTTTGATCTGAAATAAGCCGAACTTAATTTTACTAACCTTATCAGAAATAAGGTGAATCAAACACAAGCCTAATGATTCAACAATTTTCCTCAAATTTTTCAAACGATTATATATGATAACTGATTGATCATCATAAGATTCAAATGATTGTATGATAAAACTAATCCAAGAGAGTACATATTAATTAAAAAATGAAAAATTTGTTATTCATGCATCGCTTATACATCCAGTACAACATACTCATGAATAAATACAAAACACTCTCAATGAACGAAAAAGAACATAAATCAAATCAAACATAGTAGCCAAATTAAAGGAAGAAAAAAAGCCACACTCAAACAATGAAAAAAAAATTAGGGTTAGGAAGATTTTGGCTTAATAGAGGTAGTGATTTTAAGCTTTCTTGAACTTAACTCTAAGAGGTGGAGCACCAACACCCAAAAGCCAAGTTCCATCTTCTTGAATATAAACACCCAAATCTCCGCAAATGGTCTCTTTGAAGCCAGGAAGATCATTAGCACTAGGGCAAAACACTAACTTATAATCAAAATGAAATCTTGGGAAAAACCTCTCGATCTTAAACCAACTCTTGACGGTGTTAGGACCACGTAAGCCGGTTGAACCACCAAGAATCACGTATTGGGTTTCGTTTTCGTGTTTGCCGGGCTTCAATGTCCATATAGGGGATTGGTTGCATCCATTGGAGGATGTAAAAGCTATGTTCATGTCTGTGGAGAATGTAATATTTGTGGAGCCGGACTTGATTGGTTTGAAAGTTACAGGAATGCCTAGAGCCTTTGTGTCTGTCTCTTGGACTACATTTAGAGGGCATTTTTCATAGGCATTTAAAGGTTTTGATCCTACGCCACCACCTCGGCGTTGGACCACTGGGAGGATGTAGTACTTTTGGCCACTTACCACTGGTTTAGCATCTGTGTCAAATATGTTTACTATGGTCACGGGAGCAGCTGGTGGTGGTGGAGGAGGGGCTGGGCCGTGGTCGTGGTCATGGTCATGATCGTCATGAGCTGGTGATGGTGGTGGAGGAGGAGGGACAATGTCATGATCGTGGTCATGGTCATGATCATCTTCAACCACTGGTGGTGGTGGTGGTGGTGGAGGGACTGTGTCGTGGTCGTGGATATGGTCATCTTCGACTACTGGTGGTGGTGGAGGGACTGTGCCAAGATCATGGTCATGATTATGGTCATCTTGAGCAATAACAGTGGTTAAAGTAAACGCGAGTAAAAGGAGGAGGAAGGAGGAAAGAATAGGACTATTATATTTGTTAGCCATTTTTTGAACTTCTTAAGTGAGTATTTGAAATGATAATGTTAGCTAAGTTGGATGGATGCCAAGTATGTCCTACTATTTATAGAAAACACATATGTACGTACGAGGAGTACTTGAAACGTTGACTTTCTTATGGATTGTAGTTTGAACTTGTACTTAGTGGAGGGCATTAACGTTTATGCAATAAGCCAATAACTAATCTATCTGTTGTGTAATGTGTATGACTTCTTTCTATTTATGTGTTCACTGTGTCAACATATTGTTTGCATTGACTTTGTACATGCAATTTGTTTTGAGGCCTTTAGTTCGTTAGTTAGTGGGCATGAAATAACTAAAATGTATTTTAAATTCATGTTATTGGTAATTTATGTCAACAGTTAATGTAATTTCCTTGTAAAGGATCACATGCATAGTGTCCATAAAAGGCGAGAGTCAAAGCGAATTTTTTATAAGACAAAAGTATTTCCTTCGGTTTAATTTAATTTGATTTTTAGTTCAGTAAAAATTATTTAATTTCAATAAAATTAATTTCAGTTCATTAAAAATCAGTAAACTTAAAGAAGAAATACAATAGCAATTCAATAAAAATAAGTTCAGTTCAGTAAAAATAATTTCAATTGAGCCAATATAATTTC